TGTGACTCTTTTGATGTATGGTAAGAATACTTTCCCTTTGTGTGATTGCTTGTCTTCACTCCTCTGGGTTTTTCGGGCCTGGCAGCCCTTCTGATGTCTGAGCTGGAGTAACCATTTGCCTATAGAGTCCGGTCTAGGTGCTTCACCTAGTGCAGAGTCTCACAGTATATATGAATATATGAATGGCCCTTGTGGTCTCTTCCAACTGTATGATTCCAAGAAGTGGGGTTCACAGATGGATTTTGCCTGGTCTACCAGTGTTTTTTATTGTGTTTCTTTTTTTGTTCTGGGTGATGGTTGGAGTTCTTGTGCAGGTATCTGTCTGTATGTGTCAGTTTTCTGTATACTGTGTGACCCAGACATTGGTTTGGTTTGCAGATGACTAGTACATCCAGGAATGGCAGTTTTCCTTCCTTTTCTTTTTTCATAGTGAATTGGATGTTGGGGTGGATGTTGTTCAGATGGTTCAGGAACATAGCCAAATTTTCTTCTCCATGACTCCAAATGGCGAAAATGTCATTCACGTATCGGAACCAAGTTGTGGGCTTTTCTGGTACTGTTTCCAGGGCTTGCTTTTCAAAGTGTTCCATGTAAAAGTTTGTTATCACCGGGCTTAGAGGGCTTCCCATTACTACCCCATCTCTGTTCGTAGAATCCATTGTCCCACTGGAAATGGCTTGTGGTGAGGCAATGTTCGAACAGGACTGTGACGTCCTCTGAAAAAATTTGTCAGACGAGTGTTATGGTGTCCATTATGGGGACTTTGGTGAACAGGGAGACCACATCAAAGCTGATTAGTATGTCTCTGGGTTTAAGTTCAAGGTTATTGATTTCAACTTCGACTTCAAAAACAAGGAGTCATTTTAAAGAGTGGTGATTAAATTAGTACATATGAAAGGGATCTAGGAGTCCTAGTAGACCACAAGTTGTACATGAGTCAACAGTGTGATGTGGCAGCTAAAAATGCCAATGTGATTCTGGGCTGCATCAACAGAAGTATAGTGTCTAGATCAAGGGATGTAATAGTACCACTCTATTCTGCCTTGGTAATGCCTCAACTAGAATACTGTGTCCAGTTCTGGGCACCAAAATTAAAAAAGTTGACAAGCTGGGGCATGTCAGGGAGGGCAACCAAAATGGTGAAAGGTCTGAAAACCATGTCCTATGAGGAGCAATTTAGGGAGCTGGGTATTTTTAGCCTGGAGACGAGAAGGTTAAGAGGTGATATGATAGCCCTGCTTACATATTTGAGGATGGAGCAAGCTCGTTTTCTGCTGCTCCAGAGAATAGGACATGGAACAATGGATGCAAGCCACAGGAAGAGATTCCACCCAAACATTAGGAGGAGCCTCCTGACAGTATGAGCTATTCAACAGTGGAACACACTCCCTTGGAGAGTGGTGGAGTCTCCTTCTTTGGAGGTCTTTAAACAGAGGCTGGGTGGCCATCTATCAAGGGTGCTTTGCTTGTGAGTTCCTGCATGGCACGGGGTTGGACTCGATGGTCCTTGGGGTCTCTTCCAGCTCTAGGATTCTGACTGCCAGGCTTTCAGATTTGTGTTTCCTCAAGCAGTAGCTCACAAAAATTAAGATCTTGCCTCATGCCCAGGACACCCCTTGCATTTGTAAGGAACATGTTGTTGTTGTGTGTCTTCAAGCACTTGCCTGCCCCCCTTGGTCAGAGAGAGAGAAAGAGCGCACCCAGGAGAAGCTGCTCCTTGAAGCTTTGTTCCCCAGAGCCAGTGTGTAGTAAAGATTATCAGATGGGATTTGGGAGATCTAGGTTCAGTTTGTAGTAAAGATTATCAGATGGGGTTTGGGAGATCTATGTTCAAGTCATGAAACTCAGAGGGACTTTAGGAAAATATCATTCTCTCAGGCTGACTTACCTTGTGTATCTGTGTGTTGAGTGACTTCAAGTTATTTCCAACTTACCGTGACCCTAAGATGAACCTATCATGGGGTATATTTGGCAAGATTTGTTCGGAGGGGGGTTGCCATTGCCTTTCTCTTGAGGCTGAGAGAGTGTGATGTGCTCAAGGTCACCCAGTGGGTTTTATGGCCGAACTGGCATTGAACCCTGGATCACAGAGTCATAGTCCAACACTCAAACCACTACACCACACTGACATACCTTACAGGAGTGTTTATTCTCCCAACATTTCAGGTGAAGACTGGGACATGTGAAGCCAAGCAACTGCAGAGTATGGCAAAGATTATTAAGGAGGAAAAAAACACAAACTAGGAAAAGCTGAAACAGTTTGCTGTTGTCTAGGCCTCTTGGGAAGGGCAAGGTTCTGCCCTCTCCCCTTCCTCCTGCTTTGCTCAGTGCACACTATTTGTGGCCTTTGAATTGAGTTTAAAAGAGTTGGAGAAAACTAAAGGCAAAGAGCGAAAGTGGGAGGAGATGAGGGAAAGGGACCTGCTTAAAGCTACTGAAAAAGGAGGTGAAGAGGGATTTAATCACGCCTGCCCACCTTCCTAATCGGGAAAACTGTAGTAGGGCATGGCATTGCTGTGAGGATTAGATAGCGGAGAGGAGGAAAGTCTTGAAGGAACAAATGTGGCACAGTGGTTTGAGTGTTGGAGTGCGAATCTGGAGACCAGGGTTCGATTCCCAGCTCGGCCATGGAAGCCCACAGGGTGACTTTGGGTAAGTCTCACTCTCACAGCCTCAGGGGAAGGCAATGACAAACCCCCTCTCAACAAATTTTGACAAGAAAACCCTGTGATAGGTTCGCCTTAGGGTTTCCATAAGTCAGAAATGACTGAAAGGCATGCAATACACAAAGTAATAGATTCTTTTCCTTCCCAGGAGACTGCTTCAGCCTCTCCTGGCTTTTGTGTGTTTTCCTCCTTAATAGCCTTTGCCTCTTGGCCACACTTTGCAGTTGCTTAGCCTCACATGTCCCAATCTTCATCTGTGAAATGTTGGAGGATGTACAGTCCTGTAAGGTAGGTCAGAGAACCAGTGTGGTGTAGCGGTTTGAGCATCGGACTATGACTCTGGGTACCAGGGTTCAAATCCTTGCTCAGCTATGGAAACCCACTGGGTGACCTTGGGCCAGTCACACTCTCTCAGCTTCAAGAAGAAGGCAATGGCAAACCCCCTCTGAATAAATCTTGCCAAATAAACCCCATGATAGGCTTGCCTTAGGGTTACCTTAAGTCGGAAACAATTTGGAAGGCAGATGATAACAGCCTTGACTTATTTGAAAGAAAATGGTTGAGTATAAATGTAACCAATAAGTCCTTTACATGTGTGTGCATATATGTGTGTGTAAGTGTGTGATATATATATAGTGTATATGGGTGTGGGTCTGTGTATATATATTGCGCCTAAGCTTACAAATACTGCTACGGTGTACATGTGTACGTATATATATTTAGTGTGTGTGTGTGTGTATATGTATGTATA